CCTTTAGAGTCTTCCAGGTGAGCCCTCCCCGTCAGTCACTTCTGAGGGACGTGAGTATGTGTGCATTTCTGGCTGAATGCTTCCCTGTCACTCTGTTCCCCGAGGAACCTGCTGATTCTCAGCTCCACCATTCACTGCCCTGAAGAAACCGTTCCCAGTCAGGGTCCCCACAGAGGCAGGGACCACACTACTCCCAGGCAGTGTAGCTTCTCCCAGGGGATGTGGCTAGACTACAACTTAGCCCGGCACGCTGCAGAAGGGACTGGAAGCAGTAGTGGGGGTTAGAACCAACCAGGAGAGGGGCTTAGCCTGGGAAACATCCAGACAGGGCCCCTCAGAGTCAGGGATGCAATGACAGGAGACAGCCAGGGTGTAGACAGCAGCCTCAACGTCCCTGTTGGGAGGGAAGAGGTCAGGCCTGAGAGCAGAGGGCTCCAGCCAGCAGAGAACCCTCATGTTGGGGACTGAGGCAAAGGCTCAGGCAGGGGCCAAGTGTGTAAGTGGAGTGGAGGGCCTCCCATCTGCTGCTGCCACACTTCCTGTGGCAGGGCCGTGTCGTGCCTCAAGGGAGTTATGACTATGATGTGGAACGGCCTGGCGCAGGAGACTGAGGCCAGGGGTGCGGAGTGGGCTCATCTGCTCCTGCTGCTGCCTCTCGTGGGCCCTGTCCCCACCTCAGCACAGTGATGCTAGAGGCAGTTAGCAGGCTTCGGGGGAGGGGAGCTTCCCGGAGATCAGCACTTCCAGGTCTGGCTCTGAGAAGTGGGGAACCGAAAGTCTTTGAAGAGAATGGGAAGCGGGTCACATCCTCAATATACCCAGTGTGGCAGTGTGGGAGCGGCAAGGCCCTGCTGTCCCCTGGGACAGGGTCTCAGATGGGCAGGTAGAGCCCTGGCACTTACAGGAACCAAACAAACTGTCAAGATAAACAACACTTGGTGTGTTCTCTTCACAAGAGCAGTGTATAATCCATGCTAGTTAAAGGGCCAGCATTTTAGAAAAGGCGGGGTCAGTCTCACTGGCTCCTGGAGGAGGCACAGTGCCCCAAGACAGCCCTGAGGGACTGGAGCCCAGGAGCCAGTCTATAGGCCCAAGCACTTGCCCTCCACTGGGCCTCTCTGGGGTCTTCTGCTCTTCCAGGTTGGGCAGGATCCTACAGCCTGGAGCAGCTCCGTGGGTGACTCAGTTTCCACAGAGGGCCGTCCAGAGGCTCAGAGAGGAGGGGATGGGGAGGTAAAGAGGGTTCCCACAGACCCACCAGGGGCACACACAGCGCAGCAAGGCACCTGGGTGAAGGGCCTGGGCATCCCCCATGCTCCATGGGACGGCCTGGAGGTGGTGCTGGGCCAGATGCCGAGGAAGGAGGGGACAGCCTGGTGGGGCCAGCTGGGGGCAGGGTGAGCAGTGGGGGTGTGGAGGGGTGGGAGGAGGCTGGCTCTGCAGAGCACAGTGAGGGTGGTGCCTGGAGCCTTGGCACAGTCAGAGCTGTGTGCTCAGTGTTCCCAGGGCATCCATGTGCAGTGTGATACCCTCCAGGGCCTGCTGGGTCTCTCAGCTTGGGCAAAATGGGAAACAGAATCAGACGCCTCTCCTGCCTCCTGCCTGGGGGCTACAGGCTCTGGCCCCTCTGTCTGTGACGACACAGCCCAGATATGGGCTAACATTACCCAAAATGTCACTCTTTTGCTACTGTCTTATCACTTCCCTCCTTACTGGGACAAGATAGTGACTCCTGCCGCTGAGAAGAGGTTTATTTTGGCTCACGGGTTAGAAGTTTCATTCCTTCTATAGTCAGTGGCAAGATGGACAGGCCTGGGCAGAGGACAGCTGTTCACGGCATGGCCAACAGGAAGCAGAGAGAGGGCAGTTCTGAGGTGGGTTGCCCGGTGGGGACCATCGGAGTGAGGGGCACAGTGCTGGGCAGGCCCCCCTCACAGGCCGCAGGCCTGCCCACCCAGCCCAGAGCCCTCTGCCCTGCATGTAGCTTCCCGCCATGCCACAGGGGGCTGAATGCAGGGCATCACCACCTGCAGTCCAGTCCACCAATGACAGTGGTAGGGTGGGGATGGAACCCTGGCCTGGCAGCACCCAGAGGTGGGCTCTGAGGCCAGGAGAGGCAGGGTGGAGGGCACCTCCCCACCACCAAGTATTGCAGCCCAGGGTGGGGTCCCCATGACCTGGCCAACATGGCCAAAAGAGGGATTCGAGTGCTGTCCTTGGGACCTGGGTCTAGGACGGGAGTGGGTGGGAGCCAGCCAAGGGCTCCTTGGGGCTCTCAACAGGAAGCTGGACCCGAGGATCAAGAGAGTAGTGCCAGTTTCAGACCTGACACCCGTTGTTCCACTCTGGGCCACCGGCTCCTCTGGGCCTCAGTTTCTACCTCTGGAGTGGGGAGAGGTGGGACTGCTGCTGTCCCAGAGAAGTGCTGGGTTGGAGGCTATGGGGCCCATGGTGAGCTGGGGACGGATGCAAGGAGAGCACCCTCAGGCTTACAGGGGCTTGGGTGCCCTGGGCTGGGTGCTCTGGCCAGGCTTCTGGAGAGATGGGTTTGGGTTGCAGAGGGCAGGAGAGGCTGCCCTGGTGTGTCTGTCCCTGCATGAGCCTGGCCCCATGTTATGCTTCCCCTGCCAGGGAGGGGTGTGGAGTGGCTGCTTCTGCCCACGGACAGGGCCAGGGGCAGGGCTGAGCAAGGCGGCAGGCTGTCTCCGCACTGAGGTGCAGCGAGGGGGAGCCTGTGAGGGTGGAGACTGTGCTCAGAGCAAACACCACACCACAGCTCACTGGCATGGTGCAGCCAGAGAGAGACAGAGAGAGTGTGTGTGGTGCACGCAATTTCTGTCCTGGAGCTGCCACTCCAAGCCTGCCCTCCCCACTGGGCCCGCCCACCTCAAGGAGGGACACAGCCTGGGGGTGGCCAAGCCTACTCTGCCTCCACACCCACAAGGCAGCACAGCTGAGCTCCGTTAGACGGCTCAGCCTGGAAGCCACTGATGACGACAGGTGGGTACCAGCATATGGCTGGGGCCGGGGGACTAGGGGGCCTGGAGCCGGGGTCTTAGCCAGTGAGCCTGTGCTGGGGTCTTCCAGAATGGGCCAGGGCTCTGCCAGTTTCCCTCAGGGCTGGCCAGGTTCTCTGGGGCCCCTCAGAGTGGGTTAGGGCTCTGCAGGGGCCTGGACCCTTGGGGTGGAGACTTCTTGAAGGAACAGCAACATGTGTACCAGCTGGATGAACATGCTGCCCTCTGAGAGGCCTGGGGTGCTCTCTAGGGGTCTCAGGGCCTTGGTGTACACCCTATTCAGACCTGAACTCAGTGGTGACCTGTGCCAGATAGAAAGTGACCGTGTGCTTCCCCTGATTTGAGCATGGCTTCACAAGCCACATTGCAGCCTGGGGTCCTGAGGGTCTCTACATGGGGGCCGCTACGATGGCCAGGCACCAGGGCTCTGCACACACACTGCCCCCATGGCTGGGCCTGTGGACAGGGTACCTCGGGGACCCCGGCCAGACAAGCACTGAGACCATGCACTTCTGTCTGGGAAGGGCAACACCCAGCAAGGGAAGCTTTCAGCTTCCTGGGTATGCTGTAAGCAGAGCTTCACATTGGAGGAAGATGGCTGGGAGGTGCCGTGCTGAGTCCTGTACCCTGCCTCCCCGAATTGGGCAGGAAGTCACAGGGACCAAAGTCACTGTTTCCCCAAACCAGGGTCGTGTCAGCTTCTCCAAATGAGCAGGGAACACCCTGAGCACTGGCTGTGTGCGGACAGATGCCACAGATGCTACCATGCACCTGCTGGCAGGGAGAAGGGCAGGGCGGATGGTCCCAGAACCAGACTCCCTGAACTCTTGGGACCCACCCTGAAGGATGAAGGCCAGAGGCTCCTGTGGACTTTGAACTCCTCCAGAGTTTGCGTTCTTCTCCTCCACAGCCCAGTGTTTGTTTTGCTCTAAATGGGAAACCTGGAAGACAGGCTTAGACTTTTTAACCTGCCCCGAGAGGTCCTGGGCTGTGCTGAGGTGAAACTGTCACAAGAGTGAATGTGTGACACGGGCCCAGGGATTCTCCCCTCCTGGTGTGCTGGAGACTGGCACTCAGCCAGGGCTGGCCCTCCCAGGCCAGGGAAGACCTCGGGTGGAGAGGGGGTGCTGGGGGCACTGGGGCTGCCCCGCAAAGAACCAGGGCACAGAACCAAGGCCCATCCTGCCCTCCAGCATCCTGAGGCACTGCCTTGGGATTCTTTCCATTTCATTTTGTTTTTGCAGTGCTGGGGTTTGAACACTGGGCCTTGCCCTTGCAAGGCAAGAGCTCTGCCACTGAGCCACAGCCCCAGCTTCTACAGCCTGAGGATCTCAGACTCGGGGTCCTGGGGGTAGAGCAGTATGGTCAGGAGCAAAGATGGAGAGGAGCAAAGGGCATCGCAGCAGTTGGTGTCGGGAGCTTGAGGGTCTTCTGGGCCCAGCCTGGCTCAGGGTTCCTCTGAACCCCAGCCCTGCTGTGCTGGGCCTTCCTGTCTGAGAAAGGCCAGAGGAGCAGAGCTGGATAGCTCACCAGGACAGGTGCATGGGGAATGGAGGTGCCTCCCCAGCTTGCCCAGGCCCTGTGCAGGGTGGAAGGCGGCCTGGACTCTGCCCTGGGCCAGTTGGGATCCTTAGGCTGGAGGGCGCAGCCTTGGGATCCCTGCTGAGAGCTGTGAGGCTGCCTGAGCTCCTCCAGCTGCAGGGCATGAAGGCCTCCAGCTCCCTTCTGCCCGCAGCAGGCACGTCTAGGAGAGGCGGCTCCCAGCTCCACAACCTTGGACTCAGCCTCTCTGGAGGCCTGGTTTCCCCACCTGTCCATGGAGCAGGTTTAGCCTTTGAGGGTAATGCTGAGCTTTTTACAGTTTCTCTGACTGCTCTGGGGAATTTGAATTCTCTGGACAGTGATGGGGGCTGGTGTGGGCGGCTTTGGAGCAGGGCTGGGCTTCCCCAGGAGGACCCCACCAACCTCTTCCCTCTCCCGCAGCCCGGGGACCATGAACGACACTTGCCAGCCCCTGGGCGGGGAGTACTATCTCAGGATCTTCATCATCACCTACTCGGTGGTGCTGCTGGTGCTCGGCCTGCTGCTCAACGGGCTGGCACTCTGGGTGTTCTGCTGCCGCATGCCGCAGTGGACGGAGACCCGTGTGTACATGACCAGCCTAGCTGTGTCTGACTTCTTCCTGCTCTGCTCCCTGCCCTTCATGCTGCTCTCGCTGCAGGACACCGAGGACACGCTGCGGTGCCAGATCTCACAGGCCATCTACATGGTCAATAGGTACATGAGCATCAGCCTGGTCATGGCCATCGCAGTGGACCGCTACGTGGCTGTGCGACACCCGCTACGTGCCCGAGGGCTCCGCTCCCCTAGGCAGGCACTGGCCGTGTGTCTGGGCCTCTGGATCCTGGTGGTTGGCTCCCTGCTGGTCCGTTTATATCTGGGGCAGCAGGAGGGCGGCTTCTGCTTCCGGAGCTATGCCCGACACAACTTTGGCACTACCACCTTCTCGCTGCTCGGCTTCTACCTGCCACTGGCCGTGCTGGTCTTCTGCTCCCTGCAGGTGGTGACCGTGCTGGCCCGGAGTCCAGCCACCGAGACAGGGCAGGCCGAGGCCACCCACAAGGCAGCCCGCATGATCTGGGCCAACCTGATCGTGTTCGTCGTCTGCTTCCTGCCGCTGCACGTGGTCCTGACCGTGCAGGTCACCATAAGCCCGAGCTCCTGTGCGGCCCGCCAGGCATTCAGCCGCGCCCTCTCCATCACCAGCCAGCTCTCCAATGCCAACTGCTGCCTGGATGCCATCTGCTACTACTACATGGCCAGAGAGTTCCAGGAAGCATCTGCACTGCCTGCCTCCCACAGAAGCCAGGACTCCCAGAACCTGAGCCTCTCCAAGAGCGCGCTGCCTGTGTGACTGCCTGGTGCCTGTGCCAGATAGGGCCCAGGGTCAGCCCTCAGCCTGCCCAAGTGTGGACGGACCCTGGGAATGCAGCACCTGCTCCCCCAGGAAGGGACAGGGATGTGGGCTGAGGACCTCAGGCTGGGGCAACATACCTGCCACCCCCAGAGCATGCAACCTGGGCACTGTGGGTGTTTTGATGGACATCCTTCTGCTGTGCTCCCCCCTGCTGGGATAAAGCTCTCAGCCTTGTTGGTCCAGCGGGACCTGCTGTGGGACTCAGAGTGAGTGTGTGGCTCCAAGGGTTGGGGCCATCTTCCAGGGGACTCTCCAGGCTATACACCTTGGGGCATCCTTGGGCCCTTTCAGCTCTTCCCACCTGGGGAGCTGGTGGGACTGAGGCCAGGTGGGCTGGGTGACACTGTGCTGGCAGGTGTACCTACATGGTTTCCTTGTCTGCTCTTCCTCAAGCGCAAGGCTGGCAGCCACACTTGGGAATGAGAAGGGCACCCCTGAGCCCACGCCGGGTGCATGGGGTGGGTCTGCCCTCCCACTGGGTGTCCTTGGACCCACCCCACTTCTCTGCCTCTGCAAGGTTCTGTGGGGCGGGCCGTGCTCCCAGGCACAGGCTGACCATACTGCACTGCTGTGCTGGGAGGACTCTGCTGGCATTATGCTTGCTTTGTCAAGGTCCTGTGCCTCTGGATGTGGAGGGACAACCCTCGGCTCTCATCTTGCACTGGTGTCCCTGGGGGTGGCCTACAGAAGCTCGCTGGGGCAAGCTGACAGTGGCTAACAGTGCACCCACTTCTGCCCCCAAACCCTCGACCCTGCAGCCCAAGGCTCCAGGACAAGGGGCTGCACAGAGCCAGTGACACAGCAGGAAGCTTCCTGTGTTTTCAACCACTTTGCCACTGTGTCAACACCTGAGCTCCAGAACTCTGAGCTCCGGACTCTGCCTCCTGCTGATTCTCAGGAACGCAGATCCTACTGTGAACTGCAAATTCTTGGATCTGAGTTGTGGCTTCATAGAAGAATCTCATCCTGAAACTACCCCAACCCCTACCCATCCATGGACAAACTTCTACAACACAAGGTTGGGGGTCCCCGGCCTAACTGATCTCCACCTGCTCTCCCTGCCTCTCCCCCTGCAGCAGCTCCCACAGAGCCTTGGCTCCCTCCCTTGCTGTGGAGCCCCCAACAGCTGGGGCACCCAGCACATCCTCCTCCTGGGTCCACTCACCAGCACTTCCAAGGTACTACCCACCCTGGAACCAGGTCCAGTGCCGGTCCCACCCCAGCACCCTGACAGGGGCTCTGCTCTCTCTACCCCAATGGCTAGGCAGCGATGGGGCGGGGGCAGACACAGGAGGTGCCTGTGTGAGAATGCAGGCATAGGTGCCAGAGAGTGGCCGGCCTCAGTCAGCCTGGTGCCCTCTCCCCCTTTCACTGCCCGCTCCCAGCCAGTGATTCTCCTGCATCCCCAGCAGCACTGCCGGCTTCCTGCAGATAGCACCTCCTGGTCACTGATCCCAGCCAGGTCCCCAACCTGTGCTCCTCTCCTGTTCTGCCCCTGCCTTTGAGACGACCCAGAGCCCACTCTGTGACTTGGCCAGGGCACAGCCAAGCAAGTAGTGCCCATGTCCCTGATGCCCACCATCCTGACTTTCATTTCCTTTTTTATTTTATTTTTTATTTTTTTTGAGACAGGTTCTTGCTACACAGTCCAGGCTGGCTTTGAGCTTGCTGTAGCCTGGGCTGGCCTTGAACTCCAGGCAATCCTCCTGCCTCAGCCTCCCAAGTGCTGGGATCACAGGTGTGTGTGGCTGGAATCTTCATCTCCAAGTGACAGGGAAGTCCATGGGAGGCTCCCACCTGAGGATGGGGTTCCTGCCAGGCAGACCGGCTGGGCTGGGTCCAGATTTGGAGGTACAGGGTGACAGGAGAAACTAGGCTGGAGAATTGGCTCAGGCAGACCCAGCATAGGCTGAAGGGCCACCAGTGCCTGAATTTCCTGGAGAGATGTGAAGGAAACAACTACCTCTGAACTCTGAGGGGCTGAAGTACAAAGAGCACTCTGGACTTGGCAGCCTGGTGAGCGCAGGGGCTGCAGAGGGCACCACCTATGCCATACTGCTAGCTGCTTGGGGTGCTGACTGGAGCAGCAAAGCAGGGCAGGAAGCAGGAAGGGGCCTTGGGAGAGCTCTTCATGCTCCACTGCTCCGCCCTTCCTGAGCTGTCTGGCTGGGCTATGGGTGACCTGCACTGCAGTCTAGCACAGCCTCAGCACCTGCAGGCCCTGGGCGGTTGCACAGGGCTGGTCCCAAGTAGAGTGCCATCCTCCCTCCGGCACCTGGGAGGCAGCGTACACTGCAGTGACAAAGAGCTCTGGGCAGTGCAGTTAACTGGCCAGTGGGGGTGGCCCACGAGGCCCAGCATTAAGGACTCCAGTCTTTCCTGTTCTGGGCTGCCCCGCCCTTTCCCTGCATGTGCCCATGGGCTGTCCCCACCACAGTGGGACAAATAAAAGCAGCAGGAGAGGGAGACTCTGCCTGGGGGCCGTGTGCAGTGTCCAGGGGTGTGCGGCAGACCCTGTCTTGCTGGAGATGCCTGGGCCCTGCCCAGACTACTCAGCTGCACAGGGAAATGGGTAGGGCAGGCATATAGCAGCCCGACACTGCCCACCTGGATGCAACCTCATCCTTGGAGCAGGCCCGCTCTGACCTCAGACAGCAAAGCAAACCCCAGAGCCCTGGCCCTGCGGAGAGCCAGCCCAGCTGGGCTTCCGTGGTTCGGTGAGCAGAATCCACACCCACGTTGTACCAGGGCCGTGGGACCTTGGGAGCTGTTCACTGCCTGACCCTATGAGCTCTGCCTCCCCCTACTCTTCCTCCCAGAATGGGGACACATCCTCCCTTCAGTGGCTCTGCTGCCCGCTGGGGTGTGGCCAAGAAAACTCCAGGCTTTGGCTCCACCCCCAGGCCCATTGCCAGGGGGCATCTGGGTTTTGGAACCCTAGCTTTAGCAGTTGCTAAAGCCTGGAGCCCCAGGGCCAGGCCAGAGCCAGTGCAAAGGAGCAGGGTCCAGGCTCCTCCCACCACAGCTCTGGGCTGTGCAGGGCTGCGAGGAGAAGTTGTGGGGCAGAGCAGTTGGAGCACTTGGTCCCTGCTTGGCTCACGCAGCAAGTGCGCAGGGAGGGCACACTCCCCCTATTGCCCACTCTTTCCAGGACTTCCCAAACCTGAAGAAGGAGCAGGGCTGCTGGGACCCCTGCTTGAGCGGCCTGAGAAATAGCATCAAATGCTTCCGGCTCATGCCTGAGGGTGCAGGCCCCGGAGCCTCTGTTTTTGTGATTTAAAAGTAAAATATGGGCTATATCACCCCCACTGTCATTGTTTCATTGCTGTTTTAGTCACTTTCCTCATTGCTGAGATGAAATACCTAACACCCACAGCTGAGAGGAGAGGGGCTTATTTTGGTTTGCATTTTAGAAGTCTCAGTGGTGGCACAGCCTGCAGCATGGTGGAAGGGTCTGGCGGAGAAGAGCTGCTCACAGGATGGTGGACAGGAAGCAGAAAGAAATAAGGAACCAAGGAGGGAGAGGAGCCCTTCCAGGCCACTCACTCAGCAACCACCTCTTCTGACCAGGCCCCACTCCTACAGCAAGGCTGCTGCCAGCCCCCAGAGTCCCATCACCTTCCGGACACCGAGGCCAAACTGGATGCTGTCTCAGTAGATACGCAAGCAGGGGGAAGGGAAGTCTTGTGGCCTTGGTGATGTTTTCCAAAGGGCCAGCCTGACCTCTGGCTGTAAGGTCTGGAGGCAGGTGGAGGCGGAGGACATAGTGTCAGCTGCCTCAAGGCCAGGCATGGACAGGAGTGTGAGAAGCCACACAGGCTGGGCTGCCACTTGCTGACCTCAAGGAAGGCGGAAGCTGTGTGGAGAGATGTGGGGTGAAACCCTGGCAAGGCCAGCGGGGATGGGCATCTTGACAGCCTTCAAGCCAGCCACGCTGCTTCCCCTGTGCCCCAACACACATGTGAGGGTGTTGGGTCAGGCACAGTGGCAACTCTTGGTGGGTTGATAGAGGTGGGCAACTCTGCCAACGATCCCCAGATCACAGTACCCCAGTTCTACTTACACAGGAAGTCAGCCTGTGGACAGCAGCCAGCAGCAAGTAGGCAGGGTTACGACTGTCCCTGAGCTGCAGAGGCCAGCATGCGAAGCCTTGGGCACCTGCCCGGCTGGCAAGCCCAGGGCTGAGCTCCCTACTGCTTCTCAGGGTCAAGCTTCCTGACAGGAAGAAGGAGCGCCCCTATGCGGAGAGGCCCATGGGGGGGCCAATGGCACGTGGATCTCATCCTCACAGTGAGGCCTCTGCCGGCCCTGGGGGATCCAGGTCCCCTGTTTTGTGGTCAGGGCAGGGCATGGAGGTTGGAGGAAGTGGCAGCGTGCCCTGCTCAGCAGTTGACCGTGCCCCAGCAGGTGGTCTCACAGCCACGTGAACGGTACTGGCCCTAGAGCCATGCTTGCCACGTGGGCGAACCCCCTCCAAATTCCAGGTGGAGAGAGAGTGACCATTCCTCAGGGCCACCGTCCTCATAGCTTAGCCCAGATCTTTGGAAGGAGGCCTGTGCTGCCTCAGCCACTGTGAACCTGCTGGTGACAAGTTCTCGCTGTGCCCTGAGGACTAGGACACTGGAGTCATGACTGAGCCTGAGTCTCACCACAGCCCTGCCTGACCGCAGTGTGGACAGAGTGGACAGTGCCCAGGGCCGTGGCAGAAGCTGGTCTGGGGCTCCTGTCTCTGGGCTGCTGCCCCGGCCTGCCAAAACTGTCCACTGTGGCCAGGCTGGTGAGGTGGCTGAGGCTGGTGTGCGGGGCAGGAAAGAGTACTGCCAACAGCTGGCCCTGAGGGCTTTCCTAGACCCACAGCTGGTAGTGGGCAGGGCACAGACAAGGGGGACAGCATGTGGGAGAATCAGGGTATGGAAGATCCCGGTGGTGGTCATCATTTTTCCTGGGACTGGGCTGGGCTGGCAGGAGAGGGCGTGAGGCAGAGGAAGCTGAGGAAAGGGCTGAGGAAAGAAGGCCAGGCCGCCTCAGATCTGCCAGGACCAGGATGCTCAGCGCTGCCAGGAGCAGGGAGAGAACAGGGCTCCTGGGTCCACAGGAGACTATGCCGGAACCACAAAGCATGCCACTCGCATCACTCAGAAATCAAGCAAGACTAAAACCACTTGCTAATGAGGTTCACATTTAAATAATGCACATTATCCAGCACTTCCTTGAGATGATGATTCTATCAGTCTCCATTTGAGATGTGTAATCACTCACAGAGCAATAAACCAGTGAAAATACATCAAGATCATTTTAGAAGAAAAAACAAGTCTTGCTGTTCTTGGAAATGACTTGTCCACTTAGAAGCAGTGACAAAATAATGCAATTCCATTTCTTCCAAATAGAATAACATTAAAACACTATTTTTTTTTCAGAGACAGGTTTTCACTGTATAGTTCAGGCTGGTCTTAAACTCACTATGTAGCCCATTCTGGCTTCAAACTCATGGTGATCCTCCTGCCTTGGCCTCCCAAGTGCTGGAAGTACAGGTGTGCACCACCACAATCAAAACACTTCACTTTTAGGAGTCTTGTTTAAGTTACCTGCACTTGCAGGACATATTAAGAGTTACAGTCAGATGAAATGATCATTTAATAGCAATAAAACTAAATAAAATATTATTTTAATAGGAAATAAAATAGAAATTATTTTAGGAGCAGGAAGAGCATCTTGCTGTGGTTCTGAAATTCCTAAGCGGGTTTCAGGGAGGAAGCTCTCTCCTAGGGTCAGGCTGTGTGGATGGTGCAGGGTGTAGACCCAGGTCTCTGCTTCCCATGGAAGAGGGTCTGGGGAAGACAGAGCCAGTGGGCTGGGCTGAAGTGCCTGTGGCATCACAGCCTGCACTGGGAAAGGACAAGACAAGCTGGCACCCTGTCCGAGCTAGGGTGCAGCAGAGGGGAGAGGCCTGGGCTTCCGAACCCAGGAAGTTGAAGGCCCAGCTCAGAAGCCCTGGCCACCCAGAGGCCCCAAGCTGGAAAGCTGTCTCCTGCAGGTCCGTGGAAGGGAGGTGGAGGGGCCTGCAGGTGTGGGGCAGATGGTGAGACGAAGCTTGGCTGGACAGAGGAGAGGGACCCTGCAGACTTGGCAATGGAGGTCATAGGGTGCCAGCTCCGAGTACTTCTGTTTTAGTTACATTTTTTTGTTGCTGAGACAAAATGCCTGACCCCCAAAGTTAAAGGAAGAAAGGTTTATTTGGCTTACAGTTTGTAGAGGTTTTAGTCTGTAGTCAGCTGGCTCCAAGGCAGGGTGGCACCGAAGAGGACAAACAGTTCATAGTGGGCAGGATGTAGCAAAGCAGCAGCAAGCAACAAATGGAAAGTAGGCCTCTTTCTGTCCTTTATACTCTGTCCTGGCTACATGCGCCTCTGAGAAGCCCCACCTATGGCCACGTGAGGCATTGGGGGACATCTAGATACAGGTCAAAACAGTTTCAAGAATCTTGTTGACAGCTAAAAGCAAAAAGAATGAAGTTTCAGTCAGCCTGTAATACAGGTAGGCGCCAATAATGCAGAGGGCAGAAGAGGATTTGATGGGTGTGTGACTCCCTCACGGGCAGTGGTGCAGCCCCAACAGCAGCTGTGG